TGGGGTGATTTTGGTGGTATTGGGGTGATTTTGGGTGGTTTTGGGGTTGATTTTGGTGGTATTGGGGTGATTTTGGGTGTTTTGGGGGCTGATTGCCGTTGGTTTTGGGTTAATTTTAGTGGTTTTGGGGTGATTTTGGGGGTGATCCCTGTGGGATCCCTCCTGTCCCCATCATGACAGGGACTTGCCCAGTGCCCCCCTGAGCCCCCCGAGTGTGTCCCCCCCTCACCGTGATGGTCACCGAGACCTCCCAGGGGTTCCTCTCCCGCTCCCCCGCGCTGGGGAACTCCTGGCTCACCCCACACAGGTGTAGGGTCGAGCTCTCGTCTGGGGGGGGGAATTTGGGAGGCTCAGAGGAGTTTTGGGGATCCCAGGGGTTGTTTGGGGTCAGGGGGATTTTGGGAGTCCCAGGGATAGTTTGGGTTCCTGGGGTTGGTTTGGGGTCAGGGGGTTTTGGGGTCAGAGGGGTGGTTTGGGGGTCCTGGGGGTGCTGGGGGGATCCCGGGGATGGTTTGAGGGTCCTGGGAGGGGTTTGGGGTCAGAGGAGTTTTGGGGGTCTTGGGGGTGGTTTGGGGGTGCCGGGGGTTGTTTGGGGTTAGAGGGGTTCTGGGGGTCCCGGGAGTGGTTTGTAATCAGGAGTGGTTTGGGGTCAGGGGGGTGGTTTGGGGGTCCCAGGGCTGGTTTGGGGCCAGGGAAGTTTTGGGGGTCCCAAGGATGTTTTGGGGGTCCCAGGGGTGGTTTGGGGATCCCGGGGGTTGTTTGGGGTCAGGGATGTTTTGGGGGTCCCAGCGGGTGGTTTGGGGGTGCTGGGGGGTTCCAGGGATGGTTTGGGGCCAGGGGGGTTTTGGGGGTCCCAAGGGGGTTTTTGGGGGTCCCAGGGGTGGTTTGGGGTCAGAAGTAGCTTGGGGTCAGGGGGATTTTGGGGGTCCCGGGGGTTGTTTGGGGTCAGGAATGTTTAGGGGATCCTGGGGGTGATTTGGAGTCAGGGATGTTTTGGGCATCCCAGGGCTGGTTTGGGGTTGCCGGTGGTGATTTGGGGGTCCCATGGGGGGGTCATTCGGGCCCCCCCCCGGTACCGATCATGCGGTGGAAGGCCTCCTGCAGCTTGGGCAGCTCCAACTTGAACACGTGCTGCTCCCCCGCCTTGTGCGACGCCAGAGCATTGAGGGTCCCGGTGAGGGCCTCGGGCCCCACGGCAAAGGTGTACACGTCTGGGGGAAACGGGGGGTCAGGGCACCCCAAAACACCCCCAAAACCTCACGTTTCCCGCAATTTTTCCCCTCACATTTCCCTCCCTTTTCCCCTCACGTTTCCTGCCCTTTTTCCCCTCACATTTCCCGCCATTTTCCCCCTCACGTTTCCCACCACTTTCCCCCACATTTCCCGCCATTTTCCCCCTCACGTTTCCCGCCATTTTCCCCTCACGTTTCCCGCCATTTTC